CCGGGGCCGTCCAGCCTCGGCCGCTGCCCGCCAGCCCGGTGCCGCTCAAGCTGTGCCCGGCGGGGCCGTCCTTCGGCGCGCGCTGGCCGTTCCAGGCGCTCGGCCCCGCGGCCGACGGTGCCAGCCTGCCCGGCCGGGCTACCAGCGACCGAGACGCGGCCTTCCAGCCCCTGGCCCCAGGTGAGCCGCTCGCCCGCGTGGTCCCCAGAGGCGGGTCCCCGGGTGCGCAGACAGCGGGGGTGGAGAGGTGCGCGTGGGAATCCAGTTCTGACCATCCCTTTCTGCCCCATCCATCCTGCCGGCATCCTTCCTGTTCTCTTTCAACAAGTGGCCAGGCTACCTGGGCGTCTGGCCTCAGTACAGCCTCTGGCCGCAGCGGGCGGCCCTGTAGCTGAGATGCAGGGATGTTGGGTTGGCTGGACCAGTTTTTCCTGGGTTCCCATGTCCAGCGTTTCCAGACTGCGGGCTCCATCCCCAGGCCGTCTCAGCGCTCTGGAAAGCTGCTGGCCAGGGCAGCATCCTCTGGCCTCTGGGATGGTGGGGGTCGCTGTGGAAGGCGCACGGAGATCTTTGGAAGGAGAGTTACGCAAACTTTTGGCTTTATTCTCACATTTCGGATCACCTGAGGTGCAAAGAAATCAAGGCCCAACTTTTATTTCGTGCAGAGCTGATAGACAGTTGAACAGGGAACTGAAATGGGAAGTCAACCAGTAAATAGGAATTTGCCGAAAGAAGGGAGGTTTGGGTTTATTTCTATTTTTACCGAATGAACTCTAAATAGTGGAATTTGGAGGAAGGGTGCAGACAGCTGACTCAAACATTAAGTATGTCTAAAACCAAAAATTATGGGGGTCCCTAAGCGGTTCGGAAACTGAGATGCAACTGTATTGATTTTTTTCTTTTGTTTTTTTTTCCTTTCTCCCCTCTCTCTCTCTCTTCCTCTCTCTCTCTCTCTCTCTCTCTCTCTCTCTCTCTCTCATCTCTCTCTCTCTTTCTTTTTACTGTATCCTTAGACGATCTGAACTCATTTTTCTAATCCCGGTGGGTTTGTCTGGAATGACTAACAGACGCCTTTCCAGCAGTTTCCGTTGTCCCAGCAAACTGCCAGATCAAATTTGTTGCTAATGGCTTTACAGAATTTACCATGTTTAGAACCTGTCCTGGTTTTTCAGCTTGAAATGGTTACTAACAGAATGGAACAAATATAATTATTAACACCGGTCTCATTCACATAGTGTAAAACCTAATGCTAAGAAAGCCTTGTACACCCTGGAGAGGAGCAGATTTTAGTTAAGGCAACGTTTATGTGCCTTGGAAATGTTTATATGCCCCAGGAAGGAGGGCCACTCTGTTCTTTTTGAAGTATTATGAAAATTGAACGTGTACGAGGCAGCTTCACTTGAAAAGAATTAGTAAATAATGTCATAGAAACATTTTCAAGAAAACTTGGCGATTTGCATGACTGGATGGTTTGGCATTGTGTTCATAGTAGTTATTTTTCAAGAATTCTTAAGTTGCTGGTGATTAACTTTCAGCCATGAAAAGTTGACTTTAACCTTTGCTGATTTTTTTGGTGGTTAAATGAAGTGGGAATTAAACACAGTTCAGTAACACAATAATCTCATGTATGTACTCATTTCATTCTAAATGCTGTAATTAATGGGTTCCAACAACACTGTGTTTTCCAAGAACAGAAGCATTCTTGTGCTCTTATAAAATGTACAAATGCAAATGATTTTTGTAATAATTAGGAGGGCACAATCTGAAATACCCTGGTAGTTTAAATGCACATTTTATGGAATATTCTATTCAATCTGCATTGAGGATTCTGTCGTCTCCTAATTTTAATTTGAACAAGCCCTGCTTTGTTTCAAAATGCATTTTTTTTTGTGAAGAATGCATCCACTTTTTGAAACTAGAAAAATATTTAAAGAAGAAGGAAAGAAACCTGTAAGTTTGTGGCCACCATTAGGTGCTTCAAACTGGCATCTCCATTTATTTTTATAATTTGAATGAAGAATGCAGTTTCCTGAACACTATCTCTGTTTGAAATGACACATTCCTGTCTTCATGAGTGTTGCAGGAATTCTTTCATGAAGTGCAGTTATGAAGTTTCAATGAGAGACATTAGTCTTAGTTATCTGGAAATCAGGCGAGGATGGAATACTGCCTGGATGGAATTCTGTAACTTGGGACTGAACCCATGGCGTTGTACCCGCATCCCCAGCCTGTGACTGATGGTCTATAGAGTCCATAAAGAGGTAGAAGAGCTATTATTCCTAGGAAAAGATAGCAATAAATCTGTTTCATAAATAACCAATGAAGAACGAGTTCTGTTCCTCCTCCTCCACCTCTCCACATTATTGTTGTTATTATTATTCTTATTATTAATGTTTTGGGTCAGTGCTAGAGATTGAATCCAGGGCCTTCTGCATGGTAGGGAGGCATTCCACCCCTGAGGTGTATCCCCAGCCTTTAACAACTAGTTTTAGTCTTTCCCTTTATACAGTGACTTGGGAGAGAATCATAAAATGTGATTTTTAATAATTTTAGAGTATTGGCTATGCTTTTTGTCAAACTTAATTTGTTGGATACTCTAGATGAACTAGTAAATAAGAAATTGCACACCACCATTATTTTATATAGACAGCATTGTCTAAAGTCTAAGATTTATGCTGCTATGCATTTTTCCTTCATTAGTTTGGTTACATCCTATTAATCACACCATATATTTTATTCATTCAGCAGTTGTTGGGGCCTGCCATGTATCTGGCTCTGTTCCGGATACAGGCACGATCCCGAACAAGAACAAGCAATGACTGTTTGTGCCCATGTCCAATACTTCTCCACAGACTCCAATCATTTTCACAACTGTGAGCATCCTTAACATTAAGCCAGAAGGTAGCTGTTGGCATGGCAGTCTTTTTCTGTAATAAAAATGATTTCATTTGCTAATTTTGTTTTTGTCCTAAGTACCTTTAAATGTCTGTGAACTCCTGAAAGAGAAAACAACTGCTCCATCTTCAGGCGGCTGCATTGGGTTAGTCTTTCAATGACTTTGAGAAACTAATGGTGGATAATGAGACATCTATTTACAGTTGACCCAACATAATAAATCAGGGAAGGAGTCTGTATCTGAGCAGTGACACCTGCTCTACAGGTTGTGGATGAAAGAATATCTGTCCATCTCTGAAAACTGCAGGTTTGAATATTTGGGCAGAGGGGAAGCAGGATGTTCCAAAAAAATATGCTGTCAGAGTTTCATAGTTTAAAAACTATTAAAAAAAGAGTATTTCAGTGGGACAGTGGGTGATGAATAGACTTACCTCCACTTTATATTAGAGAAAAATGCCTTCAACTCATTGTCATTTGTTAGTGGAAGCTAGAAGACTTGACAAGTAAAATTCTATCAGACTCTAACCCCCAAACTCATTATTGTCATTATTTGTAAAATATTCTGTAGTTTAAAATATTCATGTCTTTGGATATTAAAAGAGGGTCTTGACATTTAAAAGATGAAAATATGAATTTCTCTTAGTTTTGAGAATTTCCCTGTTGGTTGTGCCATCAATTTTATTCAAATTAAATGGAGGAAATATGTTTCCCTTTTGGGGGGTGGGTCTTTCTATGTAGCTGGGCTGGCCTGGAACTCCTATGTAGAGACCAGCTGGTCTCAAACTCACAGAGATCTGCCTACCTTTGCCTCCCGTATAATGGGATTGAAGGTGTGCACCACCACATCTGGCTATTTTAATGACATTATTATTTAAAATATTTTAGAAAATCTTTGACATAAAATTTTATTCCTTATTAAATCTACTTGTGTGCATATAAGGATTGGAAAGCAAATGCTTATTCTGAAGAGTGAGTTGAATTTTCTCTTAGTTTGTCTTGCCACGAATGTGGTACTGTGTAGCCTAGGCATACAAGATCCATAGCATGTTTTATCCGTTACCCCTCTGGGGTTTGCTTTTTTTTCTGTCAATACTTACCATGTATGTTGACACCTTATCTACCTCCCAGTCCTGGCTACTCTTGATCTAGTAAATCCTTACTCTGTCTGAAGGTGATCGCACTTGCATTTTGCATTCAGAATGGTATTGTATTGCCCTCCATTGAGATACACTGACAGTGTGAAATAAAACCAGCTCTTGTACACTTTAGGCAGTCAGGTGGGGGTGGTTCAAAGTGGAGACCACAGGCTAACTGAAAACTTTAAGGTTTCACTTGATCCAGAGCTTGTCACACTAATTGCTAAAGGTGTTCCAGATTTGTTTTGGCAAATGGAGATCTCAGAGCCTGTAATGTTGATGACACTGACCCAGAACCAGGGCAGTGTGGGGCATCCAGAATGGGGCAGTGATGGTCCCATTTGAGCAGGTCTTTGCTCTGGCTGTTGTCCTGGCATTCTTTGCTGGCATTTGTAGATAATACTGAACCATATTCTTAGTAGCTATATGGATTTTTGTACTCTGTTTAGCATATCGTTGTAGTTAACACATCAGTAACTTACATAAAAATTGTGAATAAATTGTTATATGGTTCCCTAACTTAATTGGCACCTCTAAGTTTACGGAGAAGTTCTTAAGGTGAACAGCATTAAGTGCTGCCTGAGAAAGCTATAGTCTGTGCAAAACAGTATCCAATTTGGAAGCAATCCATGTGCATTTGATTTGCCTCCAACCTCAGCACCTATTCATCTCCCACCACAGGCATCTTTACTCCAACAGATGAATCTTAATCTAGTAATTTGTAGAGGAGCCATTGAAATTCAATAATAAAACATGGACTAAATCCAACAGGCAACTTTTAGAACTTTCCATGAAATTCCTGCTTTAGGGACATGAGGGGTTAAAGGTACAATGACTCGAATGCCCAGAAATTTAGGTATACTTACCTAGAATTTAAACAGAGAATTCAGAAGGCTCATGGCTGTCCTGGAAGAGGACGCCATGGATGCTGGGCATCTTAAAGGGATGGTCAAGGGTGGTTTTGCCTTTTCTTCTTCCCCCAGTTCTGGGATGAAGCCTGGTGTCTTGCGCATGCTAGGCAAGTGCTCCATCCTCAGCCCTTTTCTGTATTTGCTTACAGTGGATACCACCGTCTTCTTCGTAGAGCATGGTGCCATCTTCCTGTTCTTGTCCTTGTGAGAAAATATTCCTGTTTAGTGTGGGATGTTC